CTCTGAATCAACTCCTCTAAAGAAATCGCCTGGGGGCGCCTGGGTGGCGCAGTCGGTTAAGCGTCCGACTTCAGCCAGGTCACGATCTCGCGGTCCGTGAGTTCGAGCCCCGCGTCGGGCTCTGGGCTGATGGCTCAGAGCCTGGAACCTGTTTCCGATTCTGTGTCTCCCTCTCTCTCTCTGCCCCTCCCCTGTTCATGCTCTGTCTCTCTCTGTCCCAAAAATAAAAAACGTTGAAAAAAAAAAATTAAAAAAAAAAAAAAAAAAGAAATCGCCTGTACGCACTCAAGAAAACCCACCCAAGGCCCATTTACACTGTGCAGGGTAGAGAGGGGTGTGTCCACCTCACACACCCCTCTGCGGACCCCAAAAGAGTGAGGGGGAGTTTATTCATCTCCAGGGTTCCCCCATCCAGCACTTCCCTGTCTCACAGGCCATCAACAGGTTTTAGACAAAAACAACTACGTGAACGGACGGACGCCTGGAGGGCCCCTACATAATGTGAGATAAATGGGGCTAAGTGAGCATTTTCTTTCTCCACCCCCCTCCACCTGTATTTTGACATAATTTCAGACTGAGAAAAAAGTTGCAAGAGCAGCACAAGGAACTCTCATGTGCCCTTCCCTCAAATTCCTGACATGTGCACTTGTAGCATACAGGCTTTTATCCCTCTCTGTCCCTCTCCCTTGGTAGATGGGTGTCTGTGTTATCTCCAAACCATCTGGAGAAGGTGGCAGGCATGATGTTCCTTCGCCCCCAAACCTTCAGTGTGTGCTTCCCAACAAGGACATTCTCTTATATAACCCCAGCCCAATTATCACAATCCGGCAATTAACATAAATGCAATAAAATACTATCATCAGTTGCAGGCACCTTATTTAGATGTCACCAGTGGTCCCGATAATGTCACCTGTGCAAAAGAAAATCCAGGATCGTGATATTGCACTCAATCCTTATGTCTTTTTAGTCTCTGTTTTGTTTTTGTTTTTGTTTTTTAATTTACATCCAAGTTATTTAGCATCTAGTGCAACAATGATTTCAGGAGTCGATTCCTTAATGCCGCTTACCCATTTAGCGCATCCCCCTCTCGCAATCCCTCCAGGAACCCTCAGTTTGTTCTCCATATTTATGAGACTCTTATGTTTTGTCTCCTCCCTATTTTTATATTATTTTTGCTTCCCTTTCCTTAAGTTCATCTGTTTTGTATCTTAAAGTCCTCATGAGTTAAGTCATATGATGTTTGTCTTTCTCTGACTGACTAATTTCACTTAGCGTAATACCCTCCAGTTCCATCTACGTAGTTGCAAATGGCAAGATTTCATTCTTTTTGATTGCCAAGTAATACCCCATTGTCTATATACACCACATCTTCTTTATCCATTCATCCATCGATGGACATTTGGGCTCTTTCCATACTTTGGCTATTGTTGATAGTGCTGCTATAAACATGGGGGTGCATGTGTCCCTTTGAAACAGCACACCTGTATCCTGTGGATAAATGCCTAGTAGTGCAATTGCTGGGTCGTAGGGTAGTCCTATTTTCAATTTTTTGAGGAACCTCCATACCGTTTTCCAGAGTGACTACACCAGTTTGCATTCCCATCAGCAGTGCACAAGTGTTCCTCTTTCTCCGCACCCTCCCCAACATCTGTTGTTGCCTGAGTTGTTGATGTTAGCCATTCTGACAGGTGTGAGGTGGTATCTCATTGTGGTTTTGATTTGTATTTCCCTGATGATGAGTGACATTGAGCATTTTTTTCATGTGTCGGGTGGCCATTTGAATGTCTTCTTTGGAGAAGTGTCCATTCATGTCTTTTGCCCATTTCTTCACTGGATTGTTTTTTGGGTGTTGAGTTTGAGAAGTTCTTTATAGATTTTGGATACTAACCCTTTATCTGATATGTCGTTTGCAAATATCTTCTCCCATTCTGTCGGTTGCCTTTTAGTTTTGCTGATTGTTTCCTTTGCTGTGCAGAAGCTTTTTATTTTGATGAGGTCCCAATAGTTCGTTTTTGCTTTTGTTTCCCTTGCCTCTAGAGACATGTCGAGTAAGAAGTTGCTGTGGCCAAGATCAAAGAGGTTTTTGCCTGCTTTCCCCTCGAGGATTTAGATGGCTTCCTGTCTTACATTTAGGTCTTTCATCCATTTTGAGCTTCTTTTTGTGGATGGTGTAAGAAAGTGGTCCAGGTTCATTCTTCTGCATGTCGCTGTCCAGTTTTCCCAGCACCACTTGCTGAAGAGACTGTCTTTATTCCATTGCATATTCTTTCCTGCTTTGTCAAAGATTAGTTGGCCACACGTTTGTGGGTCCATTTCTGGGTTCTCTATTCTGTCCCATTGATCTGAGTGTCTGTTCTTGTGCCCGTACCATACTGCCTTGATGATTACAGCTTTGAAGTCCGGTTAGTCTCTGTTAATGTACAATAGTTCTCCAGTTGTGTGTGGGTGTGTGTGTGTGCACATATCCATACATGCATGCTTCATGACATTTTTGTTTGTTTTTAGAGAGACAGTGCAAGCAGGGAAGAGAGAGAGAGAGAGGGGGAGATCATTTTTCATTTATTTTTATATTTCATTTTATTAATAACTTGTCACGTTAGCTAACATACAGTACATACAGTGTGCTCTTGGCTTTGGAGGCAGATTCCCGTGATTCATCACTTACATAAATACCCAGTGCTCATCCCAACAAGTGACCTCCTCGATGCCCATCTCCCATTTTCCCTGCCCCCCCAACCCCCCATCCCCATCACCCTCGGCTTGTGCTCTATATTTAAGAGTCTCTTATGGTTTGCCTCTGAGAGGGAGAGAATCTCAAGCAGACTTCATGCTCAGCACAGAGCACAATGCGGGGCTCAATCCCACAACCCTGGGATTGTGACCTGAGCTGAAATCAAGAGTCGGCTGCTCAACCGACTGAGCCACCCAGGCGCCCCCATGACATTTTTTTAAGGCTATTTTTAGAGCAGATTTAGGTTTACAACAACACCGAGAGGAGGTATAGATTTCCCACATATCCCCAGCACTGATTTTTTTTTTTTTTTTAAGAGTACAAGCCAGGGGCGCCTGGGTGGCACAGTCGGTTAAGCGTCCGACTTCAACCAGGTCACAATCTCACGGTCCGTGAGTTCGAGCCCCGCGTCGGGCTCTGGGCTGATGGCTCAGAGCCTGGAGCCTGTTTCCGATTCTGTGTCTCCCTCTCTCTCTGCCCCTCGCCCGTTCATGCTCTGTCTCTCTCTGTCCCAAAAATAAATAAACGTTGAAAAAAAAATTTAAAAAAAAAAAAAAAGAGTACAAGCCAGTCATATTGTAGAACGTCCTTCGTTTGGAGTTTGTCTGATGTCTTCTCACAATCAGATTCAGGTTATGCATCTTTGGTAAGAACACCGAAAATTTATAATGCCATCAATATACTGTGTGACCTTGGAGTGTATTACTTAACCTTTCTGAATGTCACTCTCGTCATCTGAGAAACCAACAGGATGAGACCGGCAGCTACCAAAAAGGAGTTCATATGGGAATAAGATGTGTATCTCAAACTTGCAAGCAGATGAACTGGTATCTGTGAACATGATCTTTGGTTTCCTGGGTAGCGTGGGGAATGGCCAAGTATGTATGCCATGCTGATTCCTCTTATGCTAGACTCGACTAGGAAATTGTAGCTTTGAGAACGTTTGGGAAGAGTGAAATTCAAGAGGTAATTAAGGTTACTTCAGGTCTGGGTGAAAGGGGCCACATTGTTTCCATCACCTAGGATCAACCTTAATCAGCCATCTCACAGATGGGAGGGATGGAGAGGCGGGAGAGAGATGGGAGTCGGCAAATCAGCCAGAACAGACCTCAGGAGGCCAAGGGTAAAAAAAATAAAATACAGAAGTCCATTCAACCACTTTGGAAAGCAACCTGGCAATCTTCTGTTAAAGGTAAATATATGCCCTAGGATACAGCATTTCCTTCCCTGGGAGTCTCCTCAAGGAAATTCTCAGATAACTGCACAAGAGACTTGAACAAGATTACTGTGCTACTGCTTATAATAATCACTTAAATGGATATAATTTAAATGCCCACAGTGACGACAATGAATAAATAAAATCTGGCACACTGCGAGAACAGAGTACTATATAGCTGTAAAAATTAATTACCTGGATGTACATGTGTCAACATAGACTGAGAGCCAAGATAATCGTGTGTGTGTGTGTGTGTGTGTGTGTGTGGTGTGTGTGTGTGTGTGTGTGTGTGTGTGTGTGCATTTTATAGCTTGACTTCTGATGTTGGTATTTTATGCTTTCTTTTTTTTTCCCCGATCATTCCAACTAGAGATTCATTGATTGTATCAAACTTCTCAAAGGATGACCTTTTTTAAAATAAACCTTTTATTTGGAATAATCTTACATGTACAGAAAACTTGCACAGACAGGAGAAAGTTCTCATACACCCCTCATATTGTTTCAGTTTTCCCTACTATTACTATCTCTGATTACTGTTATAAACCTGCCAAGTCTAAGAAACCCACATTGGTAGATTACTATGAACTAAACTGTAGACTTTGTGTTTTACCAGTTTTCTATCACTGACCTTTGTGTGTTTCAAGGTCCAGTCCAGATGGCTACTTTGCACTGAGCTGTGCTAGTCTCCTGTGGTCTGACAGTTTTTCAGTATTTCCTGGTTTTCATGCCCTTGATGATCTCAAGGAGTACTGGCCAGGTATTTTGTAGCATGTCCCTCAATTTAGGGTGCGCCTGTGAATTTTCTCATGATGAGGGCAGGATTATTGGGTTTGGGGAAAGAACGTCACAAAGGAAAAGCGTCCTTCTCAGCTCATATTCGGGAAGCCTCTCGAAAGCCAAGTTCCCAGACACCAGACAAAGGTCAAACTCACTTGCAGACTTTTCTCTCTCTTTTTTTTTAATGTTTATTTTTGAGAGAGGAGAGAGTGCGTGGTGGGGACAGGCAGGGAGAGTAGGAGACAGAGGTTCTGAAGTAGGCTCTGCACCGACAGCAGCAAGCCAGATGTGGGAACCCACAAACCGTGAGATCATGACCTGAGACGAAGGCGGACACTCAACCGACTGAGCCACCCAGGTGCCCCCACTTGCAGACTTTTCTAAGGGAAGTAGCCTTAGGCTCATGGAGGTAAGCCTTTCATGCACATGTCTTCTTTTTCTCTGGATGCTTTTAAGGTTTTTTTCTCTATCCTTAGCTTCAAGCAAATAGGTTATGATGTGCACTGGTGTCTTTTTCTTTACTTTTGTGAGTTTGGAAATTTGAAAATTTTTCTATGAATATTTCTTCTACTATATAAGTTTTAATCCACTCTCCTCTTTCAGGGACTCAAAGTACACTTCTATTAAGTTTACAGTTTCCCACAGCTTACTGCTACTCTTTATTTTGGGGGTGGGGGGAGAGGGTCTTTTTTCTTCTCTGTGTTTCATTTTGGATTGTTCATCTCACTAGATCTTAAAAGTTCATTCACCTTCCCTTCTTCAGTGTCTAATTGGCCATCAGTCCTGTCTCACACATTTTTCATCTCAGACATTGTAGATTTCACTTCCAGAAATTCTGAGTCTTTTTTTTTCCCACATTTTTGACACCTTTATTGAAGTATAACTGACACATATTAAGCTGCACATATTTAAAGGGTTGATATTTCTTGGAGTTTTGACATAGGTAAATGCCAGTGAAACTGTCACCGCAATCAAGATAATATGACCTAGTGTGTTCATGGACCAGTGGAATCAAACTAGAAATCAAGAACAGAAAGATAATAACAGAAAAGTCTCCACATACTTGAAAACTAAGCAACACACTTCTAAATAAGCCAAAGAGAAAGTCTCAAAGAAATACACCACAGTGCTGAACTGGATGAAAATACAATGCATCGGGGCACCTGGGTGACTCAGTCGGTTAAGCTCCGACTTTGGCGCGGGTCACGGTTTGAGAGTTTGAACCCCACATCAGACTCTGTGCTGACAGCTCAGAGCCTGGAGCCTGCTTCAGATTCTCTCTCTCTCTCTCTCTCTCTCTCTCTCTGCTCCCCCCCCAAAATAAATAAACACAAAAAAAAGAAAATACAATGCATCAAAAGTCATAGGACAACAGCTAGAGCAGGGCTAAGAAGGACATTTATAGCGCCAAATGTATACATCCAAAAAAAGGAAGTGTCTAAAATCAGTAACTGAAGCTTCCACCTCTAGAACCTAGAGAAAGAAGATAAAAACTAAAAGCAAGCAGAAAGATGGAAATAATAAAGAGCAGAAATCAATGGAATTGAAAACAGAAAAACAATGGAGAAAATCAGTGAAACAAAGATCAATAAAACTGGCACAGAGAGAGAAAAAACACAAATTGCCAATATCAGGAATAAAATGTGGCATCACTACAAACCCCACAGACACCAAAATAATAAGGAAATGTTAGGAACAACTCTATATACGTTTGTAGGTTTATGACTCTCTTTTTGAAATAAAAAACTATATTATTTAAGGTATATGACATGTTTTAATATACATACACATTGTGATGAACACAACCAAACTAATTAACACATCCATCACCTCCCAGTCATTGCGTGTGTGTGTGTGTGTGTGTGTGTGTGTGTGTGTGTTAAGAATACTTGAGCTCTACTCTCTTGGAAAATCTCAAGTACACGACACACTGTTACTAACTATGGTCACCGTGCCATTCACTAGGTCTCCAGAATTTAGTCGTCTTTTTTATTAATGTTAGTTTATTTTTGAGGGGGAGGGAGGGAGAGACAATGAGCAGGGGAGGGGCAGAGAGAGACAGAGAGAGAGAGAGAGAGAGAGAGAGAGAGAGAGAGAGAGAATCTGAAGCAGGCTCCAGGCTCTGAGCTGTCAGCAGAGCCCAATGTGGGGCTCAAACTCATAAACTGTGAGATCATGACCTGAGCCGAAGTTGGATGCTCAACAGACTGAGCCACCCAGGCATCCCCATCTTTTTTTTTTTTAATGTTTGTTTATTTTTGAGAGAGAGAGAGAGAGAGAGAGAGAGAGATGCATGCACATGCAAGTGGGGTAGGGGCAGAGAGAAGAGGACAGAGGATCTGAAGTGGGCTCTGTGCTGACAGCAGAGAGCCCAATACAGGGCTCAAACTCAGGAACTGCGAGATCATGACCTGAGCCAAAGTCAGATGCTCAACCCACTGAGCCACCTGCATGCCCCAGAACTTGGTCACTTTTAACTACAAGTTTGTACCCTTGGATCAATATCCCTCCTTTTTCCTCACCCCCACCTCCAGCCTCTGGTAACCACCATTCTACTATAAGCTTGAGGGGGGTGGGTTTTTGGTTTTTGGTTTTTGGTTTTGTTTTGTTTTGTTTTGTTTTAGTTTAGTTTAGTGAGGGTTTTGTTTTGTTTTGTTTTGTTTTGTTTTGTTTTGATTCCACATATAAGTCTTTCTGGCTTATTTCACTTCACATAATGTTCTTGGGTCCATCCATGCTGCCAAAAAGAGCAGGATTCCCCTCTTTTTAAAGTCTTAGTAATATTCCATTACACACACAAACCCCTCACATTTTCTTTATCTATGTATCTGTCAACAGACACTTAGATTGTTTCCGTATCTTGGCTATAGTGAGTAATTCTGCAATGGACAAGAAAGTGCAGGTATCTCTTTGAGATAGTGATTGTGATGTGATTTCTTTTGGATATTTACCCAGAAGTGGGGTTTCTGGATCACATGGTACTTCTATTTTTAATTTTTTGAGGAACCCCCATACTGTTTCCATAGGGGCTGCACCAATTTATATTCATACCAACAGTGCACTAGGGCCCCCTTTTCTCCACATCCTCACCAACACTTGTTTAATCTTTTGACTTTTTGATAATAGCCATCCTAACAGGTGTGAGGTGATGTCTCATTGTGGTTTCGATTTGCATTTCCCTGGTGATTCATGACACCAAGCACATTGTCATGCTCCTGTTGGCTACCTGTGCTTCTCCTTTGGAAAAATGTCTATTGAGGTCCACGGCCCATTATTTTTTTTTTAATGTTTATTTATCTTTGAGAGAGACAGAGCATGTGCAGGGGAGTGGGAGGGGTAGACAGAGAAGGAGACACAAAATCCGAAGCAGTCTCCAGGCTCCGCACTGTCAGCACAGAGCCAACGCGGGGCTCCAACTTACACCAACTGTGAGATCATGACCTGAGCCCAAGTCAGACACTTAACTGACTGAGCGACCCAAGCACCCCGCCCATTTTTTTAATTGGGTTATTTGTTTTTATGGTACTGACTTGTATGAGTTCTTTACATATTTTTGACATTATACCCTTATCCAATAGATGATTTGCAAACACTTTCTCCTATTCCATAGGGTCCCTTTTCATTTTGTTGACTGTTTCCTCTGTCATGCAGAAACTTTTTAGTTTGATGGAGTCCCACTTGTTTATTGCCTTTGCTTTTAGCATCATATCCTCCCCCTACTCTGCCTCCCCCAAAGAAATCCTTGCCAAGACCAATGTCATAGACCCTCCCCCCTGTGTTTTCCTCTGGCAGTTTTATAGTTTTGAGTCTTCCAGTTATGTCTTTAATGTATTTGAGTTGATTTTTGTGTATGGTGTAAGAAGGGCATATGGTTTGGGTCCTGAAATCTACCTTACTCTCCCCAACTTTCAGTGTCGTCTTATATTTGTTTTTTGATTTTGTGTTTTTTGTTTTTATATAATGTCCAGAGATTGTAGTTGTACTTAGTAGGAGTAACAGGAAAAAAGTAGATCTGTTCCAGCTTCCCAGAACCATGTGACCTTCTGAATCCCTTTTATACCTTTCATGTCTCTGCTGAGCATGTTTAATCTTTGTTCTCTCCTTTTGAACATATGGAATGTGGTTATAATTATTGTTTTAATATCCTTGTCTACTAAGTCTATCGTTTGTGTCTTTTATGGGTCTGTTTATATTGATGGATTTTTCTCCTCATTATGGGTCATAGTTAATTGCTTCTTTGCACGCCTCCCAATTTTTATTGACTGCAAGAGACTGAATTTTGGCTTGGTAGTGCACTGGATATTTTGTATTCATATAGATAGTCCTGGGGTTTGTTCTGTGATACAATTAAGTTACTTGGAAACAGTTTGATCCTCTCAAGGTTTGTTTTTAAATTTTGTTAGGTGGGATCAGAGCAGCCTCTATTCTGGGTTAACTTTCCTCCCACAACTGAGCACTCTAGCAGATAGTTCATGAATTACCAGATTTTTCCATTCAGGCTGATGAGAACTTGAACTATCCCCCCACCCTTTGTGAACTATAGGGATTGCTCTCTCTAATCCTTTTGAGCAGTTCTTTCCCTGGTCTTAGGTAGTTTCTTCGCACACAGGCACTGACTAGTCAAGCTCCCTGTGGAGCTCTGGAGCCCTTTCTGGGCAGGGCTCTCCTCATTCACACTCTGCCTGAGAATCCCGGCCACCTTGATCTCTCCAAACTCCCAGCTCCCTCTCCTCAACTCAGGGAGATCACCAGGCTCCACCTGAGGTACCCTTCCCTACACCGTAGTCTGGAAACTTCAGGCAGTAAACCAAGGCAATCATAGGGCTCACACTGTTTGTCTCCCATCATCTTGGGGATCGCTGTCCTGTGCTGCCTGATATTCAAGGTCTGAAAACCCTCATCTCCTATATTTTGTCTGGATCTTTTTGTTGATTGCTTCAGGCAGCAAGAGAAATCTGGTCCCTGGTATTCCAATTTGGCTAGAAGCAAAGTCTCCCAAACATGGTATGCTGATTGAAAAACACAAATTGTGTACTGGGAATTTATCCAAAGGATACAGGAGTGCTGACTCACAGGGGCACACGTACCCCAATGTTTATGGCAGCTCTTTCAACAATAGCCGAAGTATGGAAAGAGCCTAAATGTCCATCAACTGATGAATGGATGAAGAAGATGTGGTTTATATATACAGTGGAATACTACTTGGCAATGAGAAAGAATGAAATCCTGCCATTTGCAGCAATGTGGATGGAACTGGAGGGTATTATGCTGAGTGAAATAAGTCAGTAAGAGAAGGACAGATATCGTATGTTCTCACTCCTATGTGGAACTTGAGAAACTTAACAGAAGACCATGGGGGAGGGGGAGGGAGAGGGGAAAAGATAGTTTCAAACAGAGAGGGAGGGAGGCAAATCATAATGGACTCTTAAACTCAGAGAACAAGCTGAAGGTTGATGGGGGCGGGGAAGATGGGTGATGGGCCATTGAGGAGGGCACTTGTTAGGGATGAGCACTGGGTGTTGTATGTAAGCAATGAATCATGGGAATCTACCCCTAAAACCAAGAGCACGCTGTATACACTGCATGTTAGCTAACTTGACAATAACTTATATTAAAAATAAAAACAAAAAACAGAAAGAAAAACACAAATTGCTACCAAATGGTCCTATACCACTTACATAGCTTTGCAAAACAGTGCTGGTATGGTGCAACACAACACAACACCATATATTATTCCTGCGTAATGGTAACGAACACATACAGTACCTGCCAGGTATCAGACACTGCTGTGTAAGGGCTTTGCTTTCCTTCTATCCATTTTGAGAAGAGAGACATTGGGACCCTGAGATGTCTGGAATTTGCTCAAGGTTACACAGCAAAAAGTAATAGAGTTGAGCTCCAATTCAGTTGGGCATCCAACTCTTGACTTCACCTCAGGTCATAATCTCAGTTTGTGAGTTCGAGCCCCACACCGTGCTCTGCGCTGACAATGCAGAGCCTGCTTGGGATTCTCTCCCTCTCTCTCTCTCTCTCTGCCCCTCCCCCACTTATGTGTGTGCACTCTCTCTCTCAAAAGAAAGAAAGAAAGAAAGAAAGAAAGAAAGAAAGAAAGAAAGAAAGAGAGAGAGTGTTAGACTTTCACCCAGTAAGTCTGGCTCCTGAGTTAATACTCTTAATCATTAATTAGGCTACTCTGCCTCTTGTGCCTATATGTGATCAAAACATGGACAGGAAGGACACACACCAATTTCAACTCCTCTGAGAAAAGACAAGGCAATGAGCTATTATTGATGCTGGGGATAGAGATGGGGCTCATTCACGCTTTCTTCCCTAAAAAAGATTTTTTTTAATTAAATAAAACTTTAAAACAAGCCAATATAAGGAGACTAATGTTAACATTTGTTTAATCTGGGAGGTGGGTACATGAATATTTGTACTTTGAACTTTTAAGTTTAAAATATTTTCCCGTAAGGCTGGGGGAGAAGGAAAGAAGAAATTGAGGGTCACCACCATCAGCTAGAAATGCACAGTGGAGGACAGAGACAGCCAGGTTGGGAGGAGAGGGCAGGTGCTGGCCCAGCCCTTCCAGACTAAGTACATAACTCTCCACGTGGCCCAGACTTCCCCCAGCACTAACACGCCTGACCCCACTGCTTGTCATTCTGAGCATGTGGTGCAGCCCTGAGCCTCCCTGCCTCCCTTTACCCAATCTCTTCCACCAGGAATGCCCTCCCACCCTATTCTACAGGCAAGGACCTTGTCCTGCAGGCAAGGACCAGCTAGAGGGCTTCCTCTTTCTTGAAGCCTAGGGACTCGAGAGCTCCTCTGGGCTCCAAAGGACAGAGGAGCCCCCAGCCAGTTTATACCAACAGGTAGGAGAGATCCCTGACTCACGCAGTAAGGCATGGAAGGGGCAGAGGACAGCTTGATCCGGGCACCGAGCATCTTCAAGCTCTTTCGGTGTCTTCTCACTTTCTCAGACAGGCTCCTGCCTTTGAAGTTTTGACCCAGCCCCACGGAAGCTCAAGCTGCGTATTATGATCACCAGGCTGGCATTCCACGGCCACCCCTGAAGTCTGAGCTGTGACGTCTGCTGCAGACGAGCGGTGAAGCAGGTAAACCCAGGGCCGCCACACCATCTATGTAGCTTTCCCAAGACGCTTGCACCCCTGTCGCCTTGAGTCCCCAGAAAAAATGGTCTGTCCTACTGTTCATTCAACAACATCCAATCAAAAGGATTTGCTGAATACCCGCCATGTGGCTGGAGGGACAAAGATGACTTAGATCCTGCCCTTTAGGAGTAGGGAGAGGAGGGATGTCAGGGGATTGCTGACATCCATGTGGGAAGCGCAGTGGTAGAGACACGAAATCGAGCGTGTGGGAACACGGAGCATGATTCGGACAGGCGGCATTCAAGCTACGTCTTGTAGAACAAATAGGAGTTTTCTGGGTACGGAGCTGGCAAAAGTGGTCGAGCGGTGGTGGCACGGAGGGAGCACACCGTAGACAAGGAAATGTGTGCACAATGGCGTGGATGCATGGTGGGGCACTCCGCGCTTAGGGAACCGGAAGTCTAGGGAACCGGAAGTCTAGGGAACCAGAAGTCGGTCGGTGTGGCTGGGGCAGGGTCAAGGGATGTGAAGAATCAAGACTGCACACGAGGCAGTAGCTCCTCAAAAGCAAGGACAGGGCATCACAGCCTCATTACAGAGGATTTACTATTTGTCATCCCAGAATAGATTCCCCTGTTCTTTTGGGAAATGACTCCAACTTCATGGTTCTGCCAGAAATGATCCATCACAGCACGGAACGACCACCTGACCCCAAGCCAACCAATCATTCTTGCCTGGGATTCCTTCCCATGGAGCTGGCGTGGGGAAGCTCTCTTCCCTCACGACCGTAAGCCTAGAAGCCTGGGCTACATGTGGCCGTGACTCCAGGCCCGCGAGGACGGCCCACCTGAGAGAACAGAGGTAAGAGGGAGGGATCTGAATCCCTGGACCCGGAGGCCTCGACGGCTAGCTTTTCTCTGGCTCCTAGCATTTCTTCACCTCGAGCCATAAACTTCTTCTTGCCCCTTACGGTAGTTTTAATTAGGTCTGTGCACTCCCAGCCCAAAGGGCCCTGTCCTCAGCATATCCATCTGGACTGATGCAACGAAGCTGCTCACAACACAGTTGACGAGGCCAAAGCACGGAAAAACAGTGCAGGGAAGAACACATCCAAATCAAGTAGGACTTGATGGGCCACCTGCTACTACCATGCACGGGGCAGTTTCCTCGGGTCACGTGAGCCAGAGGCCAGCCCCAGGCCCAGAGAGCACCCACCCTTCACACATCCCAGATGCCATCCTCCTGTTTTCACGGGACGGCGTTCTCACTCACAAAGTCTGCGTGACCAGGCCCTTCTCCACTTCGGGCTACCAAGTGGTCCACCTTTCTCTCCTTCCAAGTTGCAAAAACAAAAGAACCATGGCAGGGTACTAGGTGGAGAATATTTTTCCATCGAGGCTCAGAGGAAGGCCTAGCATCCATTTCCGGAGCTATGGCCTCTGAGCCTCCGCCACCAGCCCACTTCTGGCTGGGCCGGCCTCTGCTTCCGCCTCCAGTGCACATGTCAGTCAGAGGAGCCTCTCTGATCGCTACTTTAAATAACAATCCCTACTTCCACTCCCTCCTGGTATCTTACCCTACTGGGCATTTTTTTCTCCACCTTTGATCACCACCTAACACGGTATCTATTTTCTGTTCCCAACCCAATTAGAACGTAAACTCCGGGGGGGGGGGGGGGGGGGGGGCCAAACACCCCCTTTTTTTTATATTTTTATTTTTAAAACCCAGGACAGTGCCTCACACAGGCCGTGTTTCCAATAAATATCTGTTGAATGAATGAATGAATGAATGAATGAACAGGCAGTGACACCAGACTGGGATCAGGGAACAGAGAGGGCAGACCGAGGGGTGATAGATTTCCGGTCTGCAGAAGGTTAAGACGGGCAATTATTTGAAATGCCCAATCTCATGAGGGATGAAAGAAGACACAGGACAAACGGGACCCATGAAGCAGGCGGGTCCAAGCGAGTGGTACAGCTGGGTGGACAGCTTTCGGCTTTGCCTAGCGCTCCTTTACCCTTCTGACAAGAATCCCTGATTCTCCTCGAGTTTATGCTGCTTTAAAGCGTGAGCATGTGACCTGATTTAGCCAATCAGCATACCCCATGCCTTTGCCCATAGTGATTGCTTTCTGTTTGGATACATGATCTAATTCAGGCAATGAGAGTCTCCCAAAACAAATGGGTAAAAGAAAGTCCCCACCCAGGGACACTGCCCGTAGCAAGGATGATACAGCCTGGAGGTGGACTCATCACCTGCAGCCTGAGAATAAAGCCAACCCAGAGGAAAGAACCCCTCTCCAGAAACTTGAGTTCCTCCCTGGATCCAGCCATGCCCAAAGGTACCAGACCTTTCAGTGCTGTCAGCCAATAAAGTCTCCTTTTCTGGTGAACTGTTTTGAATTGGGATTACGTCCCTTCCAGCCGAAAACATCCTGAGCAACCCTGAAGAACAGGAGTGAAAGTACATTCTCATGGCGCTTAAATACCTCACAGGGAGGCCTAATGTCAGGCCAGATGTCCCAGAAGAGCAATCCCATAACTCTTGGTGAAACTCACTGACTATCTTTTTGATGGGCAGGATGGGGCCATGATGGCAGTTTTATTAACTATTCGCAGTTACGTTTGGGGAATAAATTCAACCGCTTTGTCTCGCATCTCACGACTGTGAAGGGCCATGATTAAACGGAATCCGACATTCAACTCAGTGCAGAGGGAGAGAGAGCATCATACGGTGAAAAGAGCACCGAACCAAGAGCCGAATCATCTGGCTTCTCATCCTTCTCTGATCACTAACTGGCGGTGCGTTGTGAGCCAACTCATCTGCTTCTCTTCATCTCAACGTCTAAGTCCGCAAAGCGAGCAGCATGATTAAAACCCCTGCGAGCAGCCCTTCTAATTCTGGACTCAAAAGCCCAGGAAGACAAGGGTTCCTAATCTTTGATAGGATCTAAACCCAGAAAAACACGCATGTGCACAAACACGTAATTCTGCAGAGTGTCATGGGGTTCACGACTCTACGACCCAAACTAGATCGCTAACCTCTCTCCATTCTACAATAACTAGGACACTAGCTCTTCTTGCATTCCTCTGGTAATGGGGAACTCACTACCTGCCAAGGTAGCCAAACGCGACTGAACTGCTCTAGAAACATTAGTTTGTCTTCATATTGAACCAAGATCTTCACACAGCAGTTTCTACCTATTGGTCCAAATTCTCCAGAGCAAATCAGAAAAACCCTCTCTCCCTGTCTCTCTCCCTGTGTGCGGCATCTCTTCATTTGTTTGAAGACTGTTTCCAACTTTTAAATGCAAATAATATGTGAGAAGAAATGCAGATGACGGCTCACCATGTAAATTATTTTACAGTTCATTGTTAGAAAAATACATTCTTGGGCGCCTGGGTGGCGCAGTCGGTTAAGCGTCCGACTTCAGCCAGGTCAC